CAGACCCCACGACCCGCATTTGGAAATCCCTCACTGGTGGAGCTAGGGACTTGGGTTTAGGGTTTGTCAGATTCGGGGTTAGGGGTTGAGGGGCTTTGGTTTTAGGGGTCTAAGGTCTGGGGTGTGGGGTGGATTAAGTTACCATGGCATGAAAACATAGTGAAGAATATGGTTGCCTTTGATGGTGGTAACTTGACGCAAGATCCTTAGCAGCAAGCCAGAAAAATCGTTTTGGGTTTATGCAACGGCTCCAATGTATAGTTCCTTTGGAGTGTATAGTATAATTCCGTACTCCAAAATCCTAACAAATCCAAAAAGGAATTACATAAGAGCCTTGAGATCAAAAAAAGTAACTTACAACTTTATACCCCAAACCCTACACATACCATAAGACGCATATCCTATGCCCGAAGCCATCCGAAGCCCCAAACCCTAAACCCTAGACCCTAGACCCAAACCCAAAACCCTACATCGCCTTAGGAGCAACTGGGTAATGTAGACCCCTAACTCACAACCCCCCATCCTTTTAAAGGCCTTGATATCAGGATCTCTCTTATAATCCCTATTAAGGGGAGGGGGTTATTAAGGAGCAACTGGGTACCATAACCCCTAAACCCCTAAACCCTAAACCAACTGGGTAGGGTTGGGGGCATGCCAGGCTCTCTTCCAGCTAGGGCGCGTCGACGAGGTCCTGCCCTTGGGACTGGCTTTCCCTGAGGGTATGAAGGCTTAGGGTTTAGGAATTAATTAAAGTTTAGGGTTTAGGGTTTAGGATTTATGGGGTTTAGGATTGGGGGACTTTGGATTTCGGATTGAGAGTCTAGGGAGATAGGGTTTACGGTTATGGTTCAGGGTGCTTAGGTGGGCCGTTTTTGCAGAAGCACCGCCCTAAAATGGCAGCAAAACCCTCCAAAGACCTGAGCCCTAGACTCTGATAGCGCGGGTTTAGGGTTTAGACTGTAAGTGGTAAACCTAAATCCTAAACCCTAAACCCTATACACACCTTCGGACTATCAACAGCAAATTCTACAGCCAAAACCTGTCCAAAACTGACGTTCTGCACGGTTGACCTGCACAATCCTGGCATGCAGGTATTGGTTTTAGGGTTTAGGTTTTAGGGTATCTGCTTAAAATAGTGGTTCTTATGCACATGGTGGGGTTCAGGGGATGATTCACAGCGAAATTTCAGGGTCCTTCTTTAGGAGTTGACTGGGCTAGTTGGGGACAGTCCTGGCCGCGAGATACTCCCCTTGTAGTCTACTAGGAGGGTCAGGGGGACTTAGTAAGTAGAATAGCCTATGACCAACGTAGTAACCCTAGTTATCCCCATTATTCACCTACTTACTAAGGCCCCATGACCCTTCAAGTATGAGAGAGTCTTGCAGGTCCACAAGCCCTGAGGCTTTCAGGCTTCGAGGTAAAGGGTCGGGGTTCAGGCTAAAGGGTTCAGGATTCAGGGTACTTTTTCGGTACAGGTCTTGCAATGGCCACCTCTTACTGCACGAAAGCTTTGCCTGTGAGTTGCTCCAACCAGGCATAGAAAATGCAACATGAAACCACAACAAACTGAAACCTTATTTGGAGGTTCCAGACTAGTTCTACATTTTTTTAATTATAGGTAGAGTTATAGGTTTCCCTGAAGTAAGGCTACACACACTTGTAGCTCTAGCTAGCCTACCTGAAACTTCAGGTATACCTGCCATAAACATCCAAAACCCTAAGCCGCAGAATCTCTACAAGTCCTAAGCCCGCCCGTACAGCCCCATTTAACTACCCGTTCCAACACTAGACCCCCCACCCACCCTCCCAAGTAATCGTTAAGCAGCAAACTTGGTATTGTGCACAGACAGATGTTCAGAAGCTAATCCATGAACCCAGACGAAGGCCCTACACGTTAAGCCCCGAATTAGGGTTTAGGGTTAGGGTATAAGTGTAACCTCCTTGGAACCCTGTGAGGATCTTAACCCAGGGGTGAGTTCTAAGGGTACGAAATGAAACCGATAAGCGTATAGCCCCCCTTAATTAGATAAAATATGGGGTATATGGGGATCTTATTGCTATGATATACCCAAAGCCATATTCTGTTTACTTAAGGGGGACTACAACCCTACAATGTGTTGCAAGGGAAAGTCTAGACACTACGTATCCCTATAATGTAGACCCATGATTAATTAGCGTCCTCCTTTCAAAGGCTTTAATGTATCAGGATCCCTATAACAACGCCTATTCAGGGGAGGGGGTTCATTAAGCAGGGGTTTACATTATCCCCTAAACCTAAACCCTGAAGGCAGGCCTTTATTCCTGGAACCGTTTTGAGCTGCTGGGCGAGAGTGGCACGGAGGGTGGCAGGTTTCTACGGGCCCGCGACATTGCCCCGGGCAGGGCTCAGAGTTCTCATTGCCGCGATATTAATCGCGATTTTAATGCGTACCGCCTGCAAAAGACGTGGTCGCCATGTTTACTGCCTGGTACTACCAGACACACTGGTCGGATGCGGTGATAGTAGCTTGCCGCATAGTTGGGATCCGGTGAGAGGACACGGGTTGCGGCTGGCCGGAGATATGGGATCGACCGAGAAGAGCTGAGTACGCGATCCACACTAGACCCTATGAAGAATCCCGATATGCCTGCCTTTGCACCTCAGGGATACTTGTGTTTGCAAATAGATCTTAACTCCAAAAACTTGAACCCCAAAACCCAACCCTACACCCTAACCCCGAGCCCCAAACACCAAACTCTAAGCCCTAAACCCCAACCCTAAACCCAAAACCCTACACCCCAAACACCTAAAACTCGAACGCCTGAACTTACTGGTTCTTTGTAGGGAATTATATATATATACTGGGAATAAAACCTCTATGTACTCCAGTATATATATATAAACATATTTCCTACTCAGCCCCAGTAAGCAAACCAGAAAGAATCGAAATACAAGCCTGGACTGCTGGAATCCCTAAGCCCTAGCCCTAAAGCCTAAACTCTAAGCCCTAAGCCCTGAACCCCAACGCCCTAAACCCTAAACCCTAAACCCTAAAACCCTAACCCCAACACCTTAAACCCTAAATCCTAAACCCTAAATTCTAAACCCTAAACCCTAAACCTTAACCCTAAACCCTAAATTATTTGGGTCCTTGGACCCTTAGGGTATAGGGTAATCCTCTAAACCCTGAGGCCTGGGCCTCCTACGAACAATTCCTGTCTCTGGCACCTCACCAGGGCCTTAAGGTTGGACCTTGTGCAAGAGGGTTTGTAGGGTTGGTTTAGGGGATTTAGGGTTTGGGGTTTGGGGTTTAGGGTTTTGGGGTTTTGGGGTTTGGGGTTTGGGGTTTGGCTTTGGAGGTTTAGGGTTTTGGGTTTGGGGTTTCAAGCTTTGGTTTTTGGGGTTTATGGGCTTAGGGTTTTTATATAGGGTTTGAGGTCTTCGAGGCCTCCAGGGTGAAGGGTTTTCGGGTTTTGGGGTTTCAGGCTTTAGCATTTGAAGGTTTTGAGGTCTAATTATGACTTAGGTTGGGTACTGCCCCCCTTCCATAGCAGTGGGATAAGAACTATAATGAGGATATATATATATATACATATATAGCCCTTAATAGGACCCCTAATATAGACGGTTACTGGTGGGGGGCAGCACCCAAGGCTTAGGTTTAGGATGAGCTCTCCCGCACAAGTAGGGTTCAGGATTCGGAGAACTTGAGGGGGAACCCAAGACGAGGGTTTCCTGTACGGGGTCTGCTTTAAGGGTTTAGGGTTTAGGATTTAGGGTTTAGGATTTAGGGTGTAGAGTTTAGGATACAGGGTTTATAAGGTTTAGGATTTAGGGTTTAGGGTTTAGGATTTAGGGTTTAGGATTTAGGGCTTAGGGTTTAGGACGTAGGGTTTGGGGTTTAGGATTTAGGGTTTAGGATTTAGGATACAGGGTTTGGGTCTGCGAGAACTAGATAGGGACTACCTCTATTCAAGTAGTTGGACGTGTACGTGGTACGCACTGGTTTTTGGCAAGATTCGTTTCTTTGTAAGCTGAGCTAGGAAGGAACTCCAGGGACCCAAATGGGGGGGAAACCCAAAATTAGGGGTACTTTCTTGGGGGTCCCTCTGACAAGGATTATAGTATATTGGGATCTACATTGGGGTGCCCTCATCTCGGCAAACTACCAAACAACCGAACGGATGCAGAAGTTGTAGACTTTAGTCAGGCGCGCTTCAATTCCCAGTTTGTTGTTTCACATATCAAACTAAAGGCAGATCACAATACCGCCAGATTGATGTCTATTGGGGTCAAATTCGGAAGCTTGTTAGTGCCCTAAAAAGGTGTCGTTTATAGATTTTGGGGAACAAAATAGCCCCATTTGTACACTTAAGGCTCCCAAGTAGGTATTATGTATAGATTCTCAGGCAGAAGCAAGGCGCTTTGTCTCAAAGTTGGTAGCATTTGTAGACTTAGATCCCCACGATCTTTCTTTGACGTTGACCTTAAATCCCAAACCCTCAGACCATCAACCCTAAACCCTAAACAGGCTTCGGAGTCATCACAAACTAGACATTGTTCATGGTTGAGACTCACTTCCCAACAGCACCCCCCCCCCACCTCCCTGACATTAAAGATCCCCCTTGGACCACTGAACATCTAAGTCCAAGCGTCGCGGTTTAGGGTTTAGGGTCCTGTAGGCCCTATATAAGGTCAACACATCCTCAACCCTAAACCCCTAAACCATCCTAAGCCCTAAGGTCAGTTAATGCCAGCTACATGGGTCTACGGGTGCACGAGCAGGCGCTGAACGCTGTCTTGCTGTCGGCCCTCCGGTGCGTCATTTGAGCCTTGCCAGGTTGCCGCTGCAGATGCGCGCCAGGCGCACTTCTGCACTTGGGAACAACGGCATTCCCGAATTCTAATAACAAGGAATTGCGAGTTCGGGTTCCGGACGAGCTCCTCGGCAGCAATTACGTTGATATGTGTACGTAGCTGACAGATGCTGAGTTTATGTTTTACTGTTGGTATGCTTCAGGTCGGTCTTCCTGCAAGCCTACCTCGAGCACAAGGCGCAGAGAATGAAGTGGAGGAACAGCATTCCTGGCGGCTTGTTGCAAGCACACCGGGAACACAAGCGCTTGGTCGAAGAGTACCAGGTCGGGCTCCGCGTGATGCACAAGGTTGTGCTCATCTTTGGGGAGCATTGGCGTCGTCAGTCACTGAAGCGCAGCTGTCAGGACACCAGCGCCGACGATGAGTTTTCACCCTTCATGTTTCCGCCTGCGGATGGCGCCTAAGAGTGCCATCGGTGGCTCAGGGGCCATCGCCATCCGAGGCTCAATCTGTCCTTGTAGCACCCGAGAGGATAGTCAAGCTGGGGACCTTGCTTGCCTAATCCCAGACGAACATGTAGAACGGATGGCCAAGCCTTAACTAGACTTATGCGTCACCAAGCAGAATTCCTTTGCAGAAAAGCAAAGAACCCGGTGACAACTTGGCTGTCTGATTAAGTTTTGCAGGACTGTCTCGTCTTGCAGCACCCTTTCCTTATTCGGCAGCCAATCCAAACCACTGGCCTCTCTCAAAACATGCCTGTCCACAATTTGCGAGGGAAGCTACGTCTGCGTCTTTTGGCTACACCACTTGCACGGAATTCGACAGAGCTGGACACTTCTCCTAGCTGCAACTTGCTCTTGATGCTAGCGGATGCTTAAACCCTAAACCCTCAAACCTATACCTGCGTCCGAGCTCCGCGTTCTCAGTCTCCCCCCATGGCATGGTCCCCATCTGGGAATACGCCATATCTCTAACCTAGCAGAACCATGAACTCTCCGTAAAACCTTCTCTAGAACCTTCTCTGAAACACGTTGGACCCAGACCACAGGACCACAGCGGGGGGTCACAAACTTCCACTAAAGACTCTATGAAATCTTCATAAAGCCATGAACCTTCTAGGAGCCCTCCAGAAACTCTTTAACCTTTTGCAAGCCGTCTACAAAAGCTATAACTTCCAGTAAACCGTCAAGACAGCCTCAACAGCTGGCAAGTCAGTGAAGGTCTTTCCAAGTCTGCGTTTCAATGCCAAGGGGCCCGGACACTAGGGGGAGGCCCCTCGCAACTTGCTGAAGCAGTGGTACAGTATTGACCTATGCTTGGTGGACACCAAGGCGGGTCAACAGTCTTCCAAGAGGTTTTCAAAGCGATGAAGACGTGTCAGGCCTTCGTCGCTTTTCTTACTGCAAACCTCAGGGCCACAGGACCACAGGGGCGGCAACCGCATAGAACCCCTTTATACGCACTATAAGCTTGTATAAATTTAATCTAAACCTTTCAATTAAACCACCACACCCAGACCACAGGACCACAGGGGGGCGGGGGGGGTAGGTTCATCATACTCTACATCACGGACATCATGGGAGGAGGAGGGGGGAGGCCCGTGAATGCTGACGCATACCCAAGGCCCTAAACCTCAAAGGCCTGAATCTCGAGCCCCGGCAGGTCCGGCCGGCAGAGACCTGCGGAAGCTTGGCGGCGTGGCTTGAGGAGTCCTTGTTCTCGTGTCAAGAACTGATTTAGGGGTTTAGGGCTTAGGGTTGAGGGTTTAGGGTTTAGGATTTAGGGTGTAGGGTTCAGGGTTTAGGGCTTAGGGTTTAAGGTTTGGGGTTTAGGGTCAGGATCGAGAAGCACATGACAAATGACATGCAAGCTGGGATGATGTATGCGTTGTATATAGTAATGCTGATAATATTTGTATTCTATAGCGGTACTTTATTGGGAGGCCTTTATCATCACGGATTTGAGGGGTTCATTAATCAGGGCACAGCAGGCGTTTCAGCTTGCAGAGCATGTTCTTGTTGGAGTGTAGGGTTTACTTGGAGGGTCAGACACCATATACTGTGGTAATCTTAGTTATCCCCCTTATGAACCTACCTGCCATCAAGGGTTCCTGGGCTGTACCCCTAAGATCGTACCCTTAAAGGGTTTGCCCAATGTAGCCCTGATAAATAGAGCCAATGTAGTCCCCTTGAGTCCTGTAAAAGGATCCCCAAAACCAGGGGTACAAGCCCGATACCCTAAAGTACTAAGTCCCCCTGACCCTTCAAGCAGGGCTTACACAAAGCCCTAAACCCTAAACCACTGAGCAGGTTGGGTTCGGGGCTAGGATTTGAAGCTGCTTTGCAATTTCGTGTTGAGATCGTTTGGGTTTTAGGGTGTAGGGTTTATGGTTCATATAGGGTGTGGTTTTAAAGTGGTACTTGGAGTGCTCCAGTAGAGATACTTCAGCATGTTTGGAAGATGCCAAGGACAGAGTATTCCAGCTTTCAAGGCACCCCCGCCACCAAGATTTTGCCAATGAGCTATAGTCGGAACTCCTTGCAGGGGGTTATACAGGGGATTATATGGGGGGGTTGTATAGGAGTTGTATACTAGGAACTTAGACTTAAGCTCAAACCTTTATCCTAAACCCCTAACCCTAAACCCTAAACTAGACTGTGAAGATGTCGACTTTGTAGCATTGAGTGCTGACAGCACTAACCTGCGCTTTGCAGGTTTCAGATCCCTCTGAAGGATTATATACTAGAGGTTACCCAATAGTGTAATATCTGGTACCATTTAGGGTTTAGGGTAGATCCTGGGAAGTTCTCCCAAAGTGGACTAAGGATCCATAAGCCGTCAAGTCTAAACAGATAGAAACGTCCCTGAACTCTAACCTGAACCCTTAACCCTCAACAGTTGGTAAACTCCAAAAGGGGGGATACATAATATACATAGGATGACCTACTTTTAAGTGCTTCGAGAGGACCGCCTTCTCGAGCTCCAGGAGGCACAGTGTCATGAGATGGGTGTTTAGGGTTTAGGGTTTAAGGTTTAGGGTTTAAGACAGTCGCCAGATTTTCTAATTTTCCGTCAATGTATGCTTGTTGGCTTGCTGCTTGCATTTGGAACAGCAAATATTTGCTAGCTTCGAATCTTGCGTCCCAGGTTTCTGGGAGAGCGCGCAGTTTTCATTTCGGTGAATCTTACATCATATTGAAAATTGACCTGACAATGGATTCCCCCCCGAGATTCTGAGCTTTCGAGGTCTGGAAGTTTTAAAAGTTTCTAGGGAGAATATTTTTTTGGGGCATGGGACTCAGCAATTCAGGCTAGGGGGTCTGAAAAGGGAAGAGGGTCGTTAAGGGACCCTAGTACGGATTTGCGGGGAATTCTTGAAGTTTCTGGAGACCCAAAGGGTCCATGTAGGTATATGGTATATACTTAGGGTTCAAAGGGGTTTCTATATACCTATTTTAAGGGCCAAATATATACCATATAGCTACATGAACCCTTTGGGAGAGGGTGTAGTTTTGAAAAACATCCTATGTCTTCAGGAGGTGAAGTTGGAAGAAGGTTAGGGTTTAGGGTTTAGGGATAATGGAAAATAAAATGGAAACTACTATTTAGGGTTTAGGGTTTTAGGGTTTAGGCTTTATGGGTGCATGGGGCCATGGGACCTGTGTTACGCAAAGCTTGTGCAGCTTGGCACTTCTACCCGGAGGGATCCAAGTAGACCCAAAACCCTGCACCATACCATGTATAGACTTGCGGGCACAAAGTTCGCAGTATGTATAGACTGCTTAAACCCCTGGGAAAATCCTAAACTGTAGGTGTCGCGCTTCTACTCCCTAGGCCCTGATTCCTAGTGCGCTACGTTAAATTTAGAACGCAATTACCTTGCGAAATCGCCGGACAAATCCGTGACCTTAGGGTAGAAGGCATTTTTGGGGGTACCCTAACTCGTTTCTGTTGGCCACATCGTAATCCCGGGGTCCCCTGTTACCACCCGCCCCGATACCCTCCCTACATTCCCCCTCAAGTAGCTCTTATGGCCGAACCTCGAAAGAGTTTTAAGCAAGGGGGATCCTAGGGTTCAGGGTTTAGGGCTTAGGATAGGGGGTGGTATAGAGGGTTAGACCCTAAGCCCTAAACTCTAGAGGGGTAGCAGCCTAAAACCCTGGAACCCATGGAAAGAGGTGCATTCGGAGCTTGTCTATCCAGACCTGCCGGTGGGCTTTAAGAAGGAGCTTTGCAGCTGGCTGGAGGCCAGATCTAGGGTTTAGGATCTTTAGGGTTTAGGGTTTTGGGGGGGACAGGGACTGAAGTTTGAGGGTTTGAGGTTTAGGTTTTAAAGGCTTAGTGTTTTCCAGGTTCAAGGCTTGTTATTTTAACAAACTGAGGCTCAAGTTTTAAGAGTGCAAGGCTTAGGCTGCGAGGGGATAGCCCTAAATTCAGGCTTCACGCGCTTACCATTGCGGATCTCGGGTTAACTAGAGTCACCCCCAAACCCAAAACCCTAAACCCCAAGCCTATGGCTAGGTAAGATTCAACTAGCAACCCCAAACCCTAAACCCTTAACCTAATGCTCCATGTAGGTACTATTCATAGGGTTTAAGGCCCAATGTAGGTATTCTTTATAGGGTTAGAGCCCCCGGGTTAGAAGCAAACGTCACCTCAATAGACTGCCGCGTTCCTGGCCTGGCATACCCAGACCCCTAGGTGGATCTAAAAATAAGATCCCCTATAATAGACCCATTATACCCCCTATATAATCCTTACATAATTTCCCCTATGGTTCTAGGGGATCTATTTTTTAGATCCTTTTGGGGGTCTGGGTAATGCCTTTCTGCAGGAACAGAAGCGCAGCACGCATCCTCAAAGTGCAAGCGGCCCTGGACGCCACGGAACGTAAGATGGGGGCTTCCCAAAGTTAAGGGTACCATTTTGGGGGTCCCCCATAATCAGGATTATAGCAGTTGGGGGTCAATATTGGGGTCCCCTTATTTTGGGAAACTACCAGATCGTTTCTCTTAAGCCAAGCAGCGCGACGAAAAGCTGAGGATTAAGCAAGCCGGCAGCAGGGGGGCTCGCCGTGCCTCCGAGTCTCCCCGGAGACGGTGAGGTTGCTGGAGCCACCGGATGCTAGCCGAAGTCATCAGGCAAATGAAAAAAACCCAAAGGGTCCATGTAGGTATATGGTATATACTTAGGGCTCAAAGGGGTTCCCATATACCTATTTTAAAGGCTAAGTATATACCATATAGCTACATGGACCCTTTGGGAAAGGAAAAGGCCCCGGGTCCCGATGGTGTCAGAGGGGAGCTCCTGAAATCGCTCGAACATGTAAACGAGCAGTTGTTATTGGATCTGTTCAACGATTGCCTCTCTCAAAAGGATTCTTGCAGGCACTTTGACCTCTGAAGCCCCTGACTCCGGGTGGTAGTCAGTAAACCTGCAGGTATTCAAACCTTCCACCCCA